GTGAAAAACAGTGGCCATGTGTATCTTCACACCGTGGGGCCCCACACCAAGTGTTACTGTTCACCCCTGAGAGCGTCTTCCCCAGGGGGCCTGAGTTTGCGGACTTTTTGGCCCCCCGGACCCCGGGCCCAAACCCAAAAGGTAGCATGCTCAAACCAGGAGGTACTGGGTCTTTCGGTCTCCCAGAGGAATTTACTCCAAGGCCCCAGAAGGGAATCATGGCGCCCCCTGGTTTCTTCCCCCCCGGTACAGCTTCCGGACCCCCATCATACCAGGAGGGTACTTACCCCAACCCACCCTTTACAGAATGGTGGTAGCCCCCAGATGGTGGGAGTTTGTGGGTTGTGTAATGTGGAAAAGTAGAGGAAACGTGTGAGTTGGGATGTTGTAAATCGGCGTGAAAGAGAGTTTATGGGATGTAACGGGAAATATAATTAATTTTTAGGCGGAAGGAGGAGGTTGAGGGTGAGGGAGTGTGAGGGGATGAAGGGTGGATGGTTTGGGGTACGTACTGCGGATTGGTGAGTGGCGAACTTTGGTGGTTGGGTGGGGGCACAGAAGGGCGTCTTAAGTAAGTGGAGGGTGTAATGGAGTGGGTGATGGGATGGTATTAATGAAGGGGAGTGGTGATTATGTGGGGTATTATGGGGGGAGTTGGTGGTTTAGGGAATGGTGTTTTTGGGTTTGGGGTTTTTTTTTGGGGTGGGGTGGAGGGAGGGCTGTTGTTGTGTGCTGGATGGGGGTGTGAGGTGGGGGTGGGATGGGGACATGGGGATGATGTGGGGGTAGTTTGGAATGGGGGGTGGTTTGGGGGGGAGGGGGAGTTTTGTACCTTTTGGTTTTTGACAGATAGGTTGTGGGGGGAAAGAAGGGGTATATTTGGGAGGAGTACTATAAGGATCAGATGTGATTATGCATGATTTTGATTTGTTTTTCTTTATTTTTTCAGATGGAACGGTGAGGATTGGAGGGTTTGGGTGAAGGGAATAGCGAGGTATGAAAAAGTTGTTTAGAAGAATGGGGAAAGGATATGAGGGAGAGTTTGTTTATGTGATTTGAGGAGGGGGGGGTTTTGTGTGGGATTTTCTTGATCTGTAATATGGATGGTGTTTTGTTGTTATGAAATTTTTTTTTTGTTTGAAATTACAACATGCACGTGACGACACCCCGCTTCAGGTTCTTCCTCACTTGACTCAACCACGAAGGATTCTGGTGCTTTAGGAATTGGTCAGCCCCTCTCCATGAGGAACTGGACGTATTGCCGATGGAATATTTGGATAGCGCACAGATAACTTTTTCTTCTTATTTAGCCCTTTTTACAATTGGAGGCACCATACAAAAGTAACAATTACTAACATGATCTGTTGGCTCTCTCCAAATCATCGGCACAGCGAAAGGCATAGATGCCTTTTTTCCATTCAACCATTGCTCCAGTGCCGTCCCACAAGAATTGCTGCAGCATATATGTGGTGCCCAGCTCTTGTCCTGGTCTCCTATCTTGCAGCCAAAATACAAGTTGTAGGCTTTCTTAATCATTCCTGTTATCCTCCTTTTTTGTGAGATAAAAGTTATTTCACCGCAGATATAGCAGAAATTATCTGCTTTATTCACACAAGTTCGAGGCATTACTGAGTAGCCTATATAAGCAGAAACCAAATGTAAAGACGAACTCCAAGCAGCTACAGATTCTGCAGCTTTTATGCAGTGAAGTGATGCAATTAAAGGCTAATATTGCATCATCTCAGTATACATGACATTTTCTATTGGTCACCAGTATCAATTGCGCAATATGCAGCTGAAGTTGCATCATAATTTTTGAATGGCTTACATCATTAGATGGGTGAATATATCATGGAAACTAGAGCCAATCAACATTTTTTAGGGTCATTTTCGTTTTCAGCACCCCACAATTATGTAAGATTAGCTCATTGTATGCCCAAAACTTTTTACCTGTTGAACAGTGTAATCTGACCTCCTGTTGCTGAAACCGACTACTCTCTGTCGCTGCTCAGTACCGTTCTGCCTCCGCTGTTACCGACCCGGCCTGCCTGACTACTCTCTGTCCGCTGCTCAGTACCGTTCTGCCTCCGCTGTTACCGACCCGGCCTGCCTGACTACTCTCTGTCCGCTGCTCAGTTACCGTTCTGCCTCCGCTGTTACCGACCCGGCCTGCCTGACTACTCTCTGTCCGCTGCTCAGTACCGTTCTGCCTCCGCTGTTACCGACCCGGCCTGCCTGACTACTCTCTGTCCGCTGTGCTCAGTACCGTTCTGCCTCCGCTGTTACCGACCCGGCCTGCCTGACTACTCTCTGTCCGCTGCTCAGTACCGTTCTGCCTCCGCTGTTACCGACCCGGCCTGCCTGACTACTCTCTGTCCGCTGCTCAGTACCGTTCTGCCTCCGCTGTTACGACCCGGCCTGCCTGACTACGCTACACGTACTCTGTCATCCATCCATCCTGCAGGGATCCGGTCATCACTGCCCAGGTCTGCCAGCCTCTTCACATCAGGCTCTCTTCCGGTACATACCTCTGGCGGTTCCCTCTACCACAGTTGGGTGCACTCGGGGGTCACGACCTGGTCTCGGGGGGCTCCAAGTCCATCCCCACCATCAGGGGCCCTGGTGAATAAGCAGATTGGGGCTTAGACCCCGCGCCCTGAGGAATCCCGTTCTGTGGGTTGCTAGAGATATCGCCGGGTGGATCATGACAGTATCTGTGTTACAATAAAGCAATCTATCTCCTGGTTTCCTTCATGTCTGGTGTGTCTCGTCCTGTATGGTCAGCGGTGGGATCCGGGGGATCTGTGTTCAGACAGGGAAGGGGAGTCTAATGGGAGTTACTCAGTGCAGTCGGGGTCCAGTTCCGTTACAGACACCAGTCTTCTGGTTCCTGAAAGACCCCCCCACCACTGGACGGCCAATAGAAAGTCTCCTGGAGATGGCCGAAAGAAGGGCCCCATTTCCCGCACACAGGAGAGAAGATTCTTCATTGGACCACCACTGTAATGTTGGGGGAAGGGTCATAGGAGGAGCCTGGAGGTCAGATTACATTGACCTCAATTCACCTTCCACCCAATGACCTCCCTTTGTAACCTCAACCTCTATTGGAAGTCCCCTCCCCCCAATCCCGCCCCTCCTCTAGAGGAAGCACCCTCCCCAATCACACCCCTCTATAGGTAGACCCTCCCCTGATCCCACCCCTCTATAGGAAGTCCCCTCCCCCAATCATGCCCCTCTATAGGTAGACCCCCTCCCCCGATCCCACCCCTCCTCTCTTAGTAGACCCCTCTGCCAATCCCACCCCTCCTCTATAGGTTGACCCCCTCCCCTGATCCCACCCTCCTCTATAGGTAGACCCCTCCCCCGATCCACCGCTCCTCTATAGGTTGACCCCTCCCCAATCCCACCCCTCCTCTATAGGTTGACCCCTCACTTGATCCTGCCCCTCTATAGGCAGACCCCTCTCCCGATCCCATCCTTCCATAGGCAGACCCCTCTCCCGATCCCATCCTTCCATAGGCAGACCCCTCTCCCGATCCCATCCTTCCATAGGCAGACCCCTCTCCCGATCCCATCCTTCCATAGGTAGACCCCTCTCCCGATCCTACCCCTCTATAGGCAGACCCCTCTCCCGATCCCATCCTTCCATAGGCAGACCCCTCTCCCGATCCCATCCTTCCATAGGTAGATCCCTCCCCCGATCCCGCCCCTCCTCTATAGGTAGACCCCTCCCCTGATCCCGCCCCTCCTCTCTAGGTAGACCTACCCCGATCCCGCCTCTCCTCTCTAGGTAGACCCCTCCCATGCCCCTCCTCTATAGGTAGACCCCTCCTCCGATCCCGCCACTCCTCTATAAGTAAAGCCCTCCCCTGGTCTCACCCCTCTATAGGATGGAGATGGAGGACATAGACCCCTCCCCTGATCCCGCCCCTCTACAGGATGATGGAGGATGTAGACCCCTCCCCTCCAGTCTTGCACAGGTGTACCGGCTCCTCCCCTTCAGTCTTGCACAGGTGTAGCAGCTCCTCCCCTCCAGTCTTGCACAGGTGTACCGGCTCCTCCCCTTCAGTCTGGCACAGGTGTACCGGCTCCTCCCCTCCAGTCTTGCACAGGTGTAGCGGCTCCTCCCCTTCAGTCTTGCACAGGTGTACCGGCTCCTCCCCTTCAGTCTCGCACAGGTGTACCGGCTCCTCCCCTTCAGTCTCGCACAGGTGTACCGGCTCCTCCCCTTCAGTCTTGCACAGGTGTAGCGGCTCCTCCCTTCAGTCTCGCACAGGTGTACCGGCTCCTCCCCTTTAGTCTTGCACAGGTGTACCGGCTCCTCCCCCATTCAGTCTTGCACAGGTGTACTGGCTCATCCCCTTCAGTCTTGCACAGGTGTACTGGCTCCTCCCCTTCAGTCTTGCACAGGTGTACCGGCTCCTCCCCTTCAGTCTTGCACAGGTGTAGCAGCTCCTCCCCTCCATTCTTGCACAGGTGTTGGGCTCCTCCCCTTCAGTCTTGCACAGGTGTATTGGCTCCTCCCCTTCAGTCTTGCACAGATGTTGGCTCCTCCCCTTCAGTCTTGCACAGGTGTATTGGCTCCTCCCCTCCAGTCTTGCACAGATGTTGGCTCCTCCCCTCCAGTCTTGCACCGGTGTATTGGCTCCTCCCCTGGACTGGAATGGTTCCTCTGATGTCACTGCACACTGGGAGCTCCTCACAATGTGCATTAGAAGCTGCAGCCAGTCAGATAGAGCTCCGCCTCATTTCCTGGCTGGAGGACGTCCAGCATCATCTAGTACTTCCCTCCCCAGCCTGACTGTCCCTTACCCCCGCCTCTTTTCATTCATCGGATTCCAGTTTTTTCCAACATGTAGGTTCAGCATCACCTGTGGGTGTTACCTGTGCAAATACAGCCTGCCTAGGACCGCCCACTCCTCCAGAGTGACACCCACCCATCAGGAGGCATTGTGTTATTTTCATAACTCCTCCCACTGCTTACATCAGGGCTGAGGGAAGCTATGTATGCCGCCCACCAGCTATGATCTGCCTGTAATGCATAGAGAAGCACAGAGACCCAGTGATGACATCACAGGGACTAAGATAAGGTAAGTTTTATAGTAGTGATGTCATTTGTCATGTTGATGGGGTGGGGGGGGGGGGAGACCAGGGAGAGAACAAAGAAGCGGAAGATACACATTCCATCCAAACATATTTGTGGAGATATAGCCTCCTTTGAGGTTGGTGTGGGAGTCTCCTGCCATGGATGGTTCCTGACCTCCTGATAGGTTATAAGATGGTGTGTCACCGACTCCCACCGTCTCTCCAGCCACAATGAAGGGGAGACACCATTCATGCCCTTTATGAGTGTCATTGCCCCCCCCCCCCTCCCCTCCCGTATCTCCAGAGACCCCCGCCCACCACTACACAAGGAAGACATCAGAGGATGATGGTCAGGACCTATGCGAGGTGCCGCCCCATGGTAACGTGTGAGAGCAGCTTGCAGCCTTTGTTACCTAGCAACAGAAACATTGCAGATTAACCCCATAGAGTCACCACCAAGAGAAGGACAGTATCCAGATATTGGAGATTCCCAACCTTCAGGGACTCCCAGAGGAATCCCTGCAACCATTCCCAGGTCCCGGGACCCCTGCAACCATTTTTTCCCAGGTCCCGGGGAAACCCCAACAACCATTCCCAGGCGTCCCGGGAACCCCAGTACAAACCATTCCCAGGTCTCGGGAACCCCAACAACCATTCCCACCAGGTACCCGGGCTGCTAACCCCTACAAATACCATTCCCAGGTCCCGGGAACCCAACAAACCATTCCCAGGTCCCGGGAACCCCTACAACCATTCCCAGGTCTCGGGAAACCCCAACAACCATTCCCAGGTCCGGGAAACCCCAACAACCATTTCCAGGTCCCGGGAACCCCTAACAACCATTCCACAGGTCTCCAGGAAACCCCAACAATGACCATTTCCAGGTCCCGGGAACCCCAACAACCATTCCCAGGTCCTCCGGGAACCTCTAACAACCATTTCCAGGTCCCGGGAACCCCAACAACCATTCCCCAGGTCCCGGGAATCCTACAACCAATTTCCAGGTCCCATGGGAACCCCTACAATCATTCCCCAGGTCCCCGGGAATACACCAACACAACCATTCCCAGGTCCCGGGAACCCCTACAACCATTACAACATGTACCCGGGGACAACCCCTACAACCATTTCCAAGGTCACGGGAATCCTCCTACACCCATTCTTAGGTCCTTAGAACCCCTACAACCATTCCCAGATCCGGGAACCCCTTCTTACAACCATTTCCAGGTCCGGGGAACCCCTACAACCATTCCCAGGTCCTGGGAACCCCAACAACCATTTCCAGGTCACGGGTATCCTTACACCCATTCTTAGGTCCTTGAGATTTAACCCAAAATAACCACCTACAACCATTTTCCAGGTCCCGGGAACCCCTACAACCGTGTCCCAGAATTCCACGGTAACCCTACAAACCATTTCCAGGCCCGGGAACCCCTACAACCATTTCCAGGACCCCGGGGACTTAACCGGAAACCCTACAACCCATTCTACAGGACCCAGGACGACCCCCCTGCAACAATTCCCAGGTCCCGGGAACCTCTAAACCAATTCTCAGGTCCCCGGTAACCCTACAACCATTTCCAGGTCACGGGAATCCCTACACCCATTCTTAGGTCCTTAGAACCCCTACAACCATTTCAGGTCCCTCGGGAACCCCTACAACCGTTCCCAGATCCCGGTAACCCTACAACCATTTTCCAGGCCCGGGGAAACCCCTACAACCATTCCAGGACCCAGGAACCCCTGCAACCATTCCCAGGTCCCGGGAAACCTCTTAAAACCATTTCTCAATGGTCCCGGGTAACCCCTACAACCATTTTCCAGGTCACGGGAATCCCTATACACCCATTCTTAGGTTGCCTTAGAACCCCTACAACCATTTCCAGGTCCCGGGAACCCCCTACAACTATTCCCCAGGTCCCCAGGAACCCCAACAACCATTTCCAGGTCACGGGAATCCCTACACCCATTCTTAGGTCCTTAGAATACCCCTACAACCATTTCCAGGTCCCGGGAAAACCCTACAACACATTCTAGGTTCCTGGGAACCCCTACAACCTTTCCAAGCCCCCGGGAACCCCTACAAACCATTCCCAGGACCCGGGAACCCTACAACCATTCCCAGGTCCTGGGAACCCCTACAAACCATTTCCAGGCCCCGGGAACCCCAACAACCATTCCCAGGGTCCCGGGAGAACCTCTAAAACCATTCCATGGGGGATCTGTAGGGAGAATGATCTCTCCTATACTTTTAATTAGAAGCATTGGCCCCATATAGTCCAGCTATGAAGGACCATTGGGATCTTGGTGTTGACTCTTCCTTTTGTTAATGACCTCAGTAACCACCCCACAGTAGGCCCCATCATCAACCGCCCACAGGAGGCCCCATCATCAACCGCGCCACCAGGATGGCCCCGTCATCAACCATCCTCAGGAGGATCTCATCATCAACCGCCTTACGGAACCAAAAGGCCCCATCATCAACCGCCCTACAGGAGGCCCCATCATCAACTGCCCACAGGAAAAGGACCCATCATCAACCGGCACTCAACAGGAGGCCCCCATCATCAACTGCCCTACAGGAGGCCGCATCATCAACGCCCACAGGAGTTCTAGGCCCCATCATCAACCGCCCACAGGATGGACCCCCATCATCAACTGCCCACAGGATGGCCTTTGACACCTCTGGAGGAGAAATGGAGCAGTCTCACATACAGAGTATCATCCTCGTTCTCATGGCTAATCAGTGTTATGCTGGATGGTGGCCTCCTGATTGGAGGAACATTCTCAGTCATTGGAGCTCCGCCCCTTACAGGCAGCAGGGAGGAATGATGACGAGAACTCTTCTTCGTAACACCATCCAGTGTGTGATCTGTAAATAGAGAGAGATGGCAGGGACCAGCCTACAGGTGAGTGTCGGCTCCTGGGGTACCCCCCTGTATAGTGTGTGTAGTGTCGGCTCCTGGGGTACCCCTCTGTATAGTGTCAGCTCCTGGTGGTACTCCTGGGGTACCCCCTCTGTATAGTGTTGTGTAGTAGTGTCGGCTCCTGGGGTACCCCCCTCTGTATAGTGTGTGTAGTGTCAGCTCCTGGGGTACCCCCCTCTGTATAGTGTGTGTAGAGTGTCGGCTCCTGGGGTACCCCCCATCTGTATATGTCAGTCCTGGGGTACCCCTCTGTATAGTGTCGGCAGCTCCTGGGGTACCCCTCTGTATAGTGTGTGTAGAGTGTCGGCTCCTGGGGTACCCCCTCTGTATAGTGTGTGTAGGAGTGTCGGCTCCTGGGGTACCCTCTCTGTATAGTGTGTGTAGAGTGTCGGCAGCTCCATGGGGTACCCCCTCTGTATAGTGTGTGTAGTGTCAGGCTCCTGGGGTACCCCCTCTGTATAGTGTGTGTAATTAGTGTCGGCTCCTGGGGTACCCCCTCTGTATAGTGTGTGTAGTGTCGGCTCCTGGGGTACCCCCCCTCTGTATAGTGTGTGTAGTGTCGGCTCCTGGGGTACCCCCCTCTGTATAGTGTGTGTAGTGTCTGGCTCCTGGGGTACCCCCTCTCTGTATGTGTAGTCATGTGTGTACCCCTCTGTATAGTGTCGGCTCCTGGGGTACCCCCCCTGTATAGTGTGTGTAGTGTCGGCTCCTGGGTACCCCCTCTGTATAGTGTGTGTAGAGTGTCGGCTCCTGGGGTACCCCCTCTGTGTAGTGTGTGTATGCAGTGTGTGGCTCCTGGGGTACCCCCCTGTATAGTGTGTGTCATAGTGTCGGCTCCTGGGGTACCCCCCTCTGTATATTGTGTAGTCATCCTGGGGTACCCCCGCTCTGTATAGTGTGTTGTCACTCCGTGTCGGCCCCCACTAGGAGGATAATAAGTCGGGGCTCCTGGGGTACCCCCTCTCTGTATAGTGTGAGTGTGTTAGAGTGTCCAGGCTCCTGGAGAAATCGCCCTATCTGTATAGTGTGTGTACAGTGTAGTGTCGCTCCTGGTACCCCCCTCTGTATAGTGTGTTAGTGTCGGCTCCTGGGGTACCCCCTCTGTATAGTGTGTGTAGTGTCCAGCTCCTGGGGTACCCCCTCTGTATAGTGTGTGTGTAGTGTCGGCTCCTGGGGTACCCTCTCTGTATAGTGTGTGTAGTGTCGGCTCCTGGGTGTACCCTCTGTATAGTGTGTGTAGAGTGTCGGCTCCTGGGGTACCCCCTCTGTATAGTGTGTGTAGTGTCGCTCCTGGGGTACCCCTCTGTATAGGTGTGTAGTAGTGTCGCTCCTGGGGTACCCTCTGTATAGTGTGTGTAGTGTCGGCTCCTGGGGTACCAACCCCTCTGTATGTAGATTGTCAGCTCCTGGGGTACCCCTCCTCTGTATAGTGTGTGTAGAGTGTCGGCTCCTGGGGTACCCCCCCTCTGTATAGTGTGTTTAGTAGTGTCGGCTCCTGGGGTACCCCCCCTCTGTATAGTGTGTGT